CCCAGATTTTGAAGATAAGATTTCGGCTCTGGAAGCTGGACAGTCAGAGATAAAATCCTGGATGGCTAAGCAGGATAAGAAGTCTGAGGATATGACAGAATGGATGTCAAAGCAAGATGAAAATAATGAAACTATGACTAAGTGGATGTCCAAGCAAGAGCAATCATCCTCTGAGATTACAGATCTATTGAAGATGCTTTTGTCCAAACACTCTTAGATTTTTTTTTCATTCTAATGTTTTTCCATCTGTTGTTTGCATCTGTACCTTATTGCTATATCTTCTGATGTTTGCCTATGTACTCTTGATCTGATCTTTTGAATGAATCAAAGTTTTCTCCATTGAATTATCTTATTTACTGTTTCCTTTTATTTATCTTTTTAAAAGTTTTTACTTTTTGCTTATGACAAAAAAGGGGGAGATAATATAGATCTGAACTGTTTAATATAACTTCACCAGAATGAAACTTCAGATATATCTATTCTATCTAACATTTAAACTAACTATTTCAGAACATTTGATAAGTACATTATATAAAAGAAACTCTGAGTCTCTCATATCATTTGTCTATTATCAAACTCTGAATCTTATATCTGCAAGACATTCTGACCTTCAAATGTTATAAGAACAAACAAGATCTAACTCTGAAGATTAATCAAGACAAAATGGAAGTTTCTATTCCCTATTTGTATTTAACTCAGAGGGAGATTCATCATCTCAGGGGGAGTTATAATTCTATATGTTCAGTTAAACAAAATTTCTGATACTTTTTGTCATCATCAAAAAGGGGGAGATTGTTAGAACACAGATTGGTTCTTAATAATATCTCTTTGTTTTGATGATAACTGTTAGGAAATTTTATATTTAAGAATTATATACTCTAAAATTTGCTTGTGAGTTTTACTGCAGATTGAAATAAAATTAACTCTCTAGAAGCAAATCTGAATTGTATACAAGAAGTTATCTTGACTCTGAAGCGCCAGATGCATTCATTAGAAGATTCTGATTGCTGTTTACAGAAGATCCTGAGCGTAGTCTCCAGAAGGATCTGAAGCAAGAAGCTCCAGAAGATTCTGAAGCTAGTCAAAAGCATCTGAAGCAAAGAAGAATATTGTATGAAGAGTTTCTCAAAGCATAGTTTCTACAGAAGTTTCTGAAAGTACTAACGCTGCCAAGTACTGAAGTTCTGTGTCAAATATGCTCTGATGATCAACACGCTGAAAGCACACATGCTGCAGAAGACTCTGATACAACAAGGTTCTGAACATCATTAGAAGACTCTGACTCAATCAGATTCTGAAGAACTTACTGAAAAGTGAAGAAGAAATATTCAAAGATTATATCCGTTGGAGTAAATCAAACGTCTCTTTCCTCATTTGTGCTAGACACAAGAACACAGACAAAAAGGATTTTTCTGTGCTTTCTACTTCTAGGAAAGGTCACTTGATGTAAAGACAAAAAGGCTCAGACCTTTTTGGGACTCTCTTTTCAACGCTCAACATCCTTGGATCAGCTGCCTATAAAAGGAAGACTCCACCAAATTCTTCAGTGACACAATTTGCTGAAAATAATTCATAATATTCAAAACTCTCATTCTTTCATATTCTTCTTAGAATTATTTGTACTTAAACTTAAGAGAAAAATCACTGTTGTGATAAAAGCTTTTTAGAAGCATTCATACTCTTGTATTTGATTTACATTGATTGTAAAGGTTTTCCTTAAGAGGATTCAGTTGGAATCAGTAGCTCTTGAGAAGACTAAGTACAATTGTTCTTAGGTGTTACTATTGTAATCTGTTTGATTAAATAGTGGATTAAGTCCTTGTTGAGAAAGGCAAATCACTCTAGGAAGGGTGGACTGGAGTAGTTGATTTCAACGAACCAGGATAAAAATAATTGTGTTATTATTTTTAAAGTCTTAATCTTTCATACTTATTCAACCCCCTTCTAAGTATTATCTCACCTTCAACTCTCACCAAAGGTATTTCTTTCCTTCGGAGTCGCTTCATCTTGCGATCCTCGATCCTCAACGGCAACGCCTCCACAGTTAAATTCTCTCTAACTTGGACTTTATCCCTCTGAATCACATGAGACGGATCAGGTACATACTTCCGAAGTTGCGACACATGGAACATGTCATGCAAGTTCGAAAGCTCCGGCGGCAACGCCATCCTATACGCCACATCACCAACCCTTTGTAAAATCTTATACGGCCCGATAAACTTCGGATCTAACTTCTTGGACTTCAATGCACGTCCTACACCAGTCACTGGATTAACCCTCAAAAATACATGGTCACCTTCACTGAATTCCAATTCTTTCCTTCGGTTGTCATAATAACTCTTCTGCCGATCCTGAGATGCTTTCATCTTCTCACGGATCATCTGCACTGTCTCAGTAGTCTGCTGCACCAACTCTGGTCCCAACACAACACTCTCACCCGACTCATACCAACACAGAGGAGTTCTACACCTCCTACCATAAAGAGCTTCAAACGGTGCCATCCCGATACTGAATGGTAACTATTGTTATACGTGAACTCCACCAATGGAAAATGAGTATCCCACGTACCACCTTTCTCTAAAACACAAGCTCGCAACAAATCCTTTAAAGTCTGAATAGTCCTCTCCGACTGACCATCCGTCTGCGGATGATAAGCCGAACTCAACTTCAACTCGGTACCCAAAGCTTCCTGCAGACTTTGCCAAAATACTGAAGTGAACCTCAGATCTCTATCCGACACAATAATCAAAGGCACACCATGCAGTTTCACAATTACTCGAATATAGATTTCTGCCAGCTTCTCCAACAGAAAACTGATACTAATCGGCACAAAATGTGCAGACTTCGTAAGCCGATCCACAATCACCCAAATCGCATCAAATCCTCTCGCCGTATTTGGCAATCCCGTAACAAAACCCATGGCGCACTTCCATACTGGAATCTCTAACGGTTGCATCATCCCAGAAGGTCTCTGATGTTCCACCTTCGATTTCTGACATGCCAAACAAGCATAAACATAACGAGCAATATCCTTCTTCATACCTGACCACCAAAACAACTTCTTCAAATCCTGATACATCTTCGTAGCTCCTGAATGAACACTCAGGCTACTACGATGTCCTTCGTCTAAAATCGACTTCTTAAGCTCGTCATTATCCGGTACACAAATTCTGCCCCAAAACCTTAACACACCAGCATCATCCAACTTGAAATCACCACCGGAGTCATTTCCGGCCTCACGCCTCAAATCCACAAGTTTCACGTCCAACTTTTGATGTTCTCTTATCATATCCAAGAAATCATTCTTTACTTGCAATTTACCCAACATCACATCATCAGCCGTAAATTCTACAAGCGAAACATCCTTGCTCGCTTTGGCATCTCCCAGGAAATCGTCACAGACAACGGACACAATTCACGGATAAAAAGTTCTAAGAGTTCGTCGCTCAACTGAGTACCAAACAACATTTCACGTCCGTCGAGCACTCGTAGACGAACGGGCATGCCGAGACAGCCAACATGGCAATTATACGAGGTCTCAAACAGAGACTAGACGAAACAAAGAAACAATGGACCGAGGAGTTGCACAACATGCTCTGGGCCTATCGTACTACGCCCCACTCTTTGACCGGGAAAACCTCTTTCTGTTTAGCATACGAGACTGAGGCAATAATCCCTTTCAAAATACACGTGCCCTCCAGGCGGACCGAAGCTCTCCTGAACGAGGAAAACAACATCGAGACATTAAGGGTGGAGCTCGATCTCGTCAAAGAGGTCCGATCAAGAGGTGCCCTCCTGGAGGCCTCATTAAGTTCAGACAGTTCAAAAAATAAAATAAATAAAGGCCAATTACAACAAAAAAAACAAAATAAACTCAAGAACAATAAAAAACGTATCAAAATAATAAAATAAATAATCAATACATATCATCCTAATTCTATTTAAAAACTAACTACTAAAAGAACCCAATTAAGAATTTACAAAAGACAAACAATGATAAAAATTACATTGCATAAAATATCACAGTGCATAAAATAGTAGTGCATAAAATATCAACGTCTGACTTTCTCACTATTTACATCATATAAACTCTTATATTGACTGATTCCTCAATAGTTAAATCCTAAATTTGTCACACACATACATTAATCAAATACTTTATTTTCTTAAAATCAACATCTATTTCTAAAGAAAACACATGAGTTAATATTTGATAACTCAATAATTCAACATGCCATACCGTTGTTATTTTATTTTAACTTTTTTCAATCAACACATGTATTAGAAAGTTATAGAAAAAATGTTACAATTATAATTCATTTTGTTTGTATGATAATTTATAATACAATTCAATCAACATAAACCTAAGAGAAGAGTGTTGTTTTTATAATTAAAATTGTTTTTAATTATAAGTAAAAAAAATAAAAAAATTTAACCAAAAGTCCGTGGACAAATCCGCCGCGTCCCACATTTTCAAGCGGGTTAAGCGGAGTGAGACAATTTAAAGTAACGAGTCAAAAATCTCAGTCCAGCCGGTCAAAAATACCGGATCAAACAGATCGATCCGATAGATCCGATCCGTTTTCCTACCCCTAATTATTGTTGTTCTAACTATATTTAATTTCAATAATTTCATTTTTATGTTAAATCCTACAATGTTAACTCACATCAATGTTAAATCCTACAATAAAACCGAAGCTCTTACCGGTCCAAACAGTCCGAAAACCGGTGCTATAAAAAACAGAAATAAAACCGAAAGACCAGGTGGATCCCTTAAACATTTTGAGAATACACCCGGTCTAACAAAACTGAATTAAATTATTTTGTTTTAATAATTTTTTTCATTTGTTTTCCGAAACACCCTTTCTTCCACACAAGAAAAACAATTTCAGGTACCCTAGCTCCGTCTCGAGCGATCGCCGCCGCCACGTCCTTCACGTCCGGCCAAACCTGTTCGAGCCTCCGGCTAAAACCGATATCACGTTGATAATCAAAAGAAAATGGCAACGTTATTATTGCAGTTACAGAGAGTCATAAGAAGCGGAAGTGTTAATTTGATCTCCACACTCCCGCATTCTTCATCTTACTCTTCTTCTAGATCTTTCTCCAAATCATCACCCTACGTCGGTAAAACTTCCTCCTCTTTCTCCCCTACTTTGCACCTTTTTCATTCCTTCTTTTATACTCATATATGGTTTACGTTACAATTTGCAGTTAAGGTTGGAATTCCGGAATTTCTAAACGGAATTGGGAGCGGAGTCGAATCTCATGTCGCGAAGCTCGATTCAGAAATTGGTGACTTCCAGAAGCTTCTTGTTACTAGAACCCTCAAACTCAAGAAACTCGGCATTCCTTGCAAACATGTAAGCCATTTTCCTCTATGCCATTATCGTGTTTATTTACTTACAAGTGCATTTGCGTTAGCATGGAATTTGCCAAATTTTGTACTCCAATTTTCAGCCTCTGTATAAAATTTGGGGTTTTGGGAATTAAAATATCTTTTTCATGTTAGTCTATGGAGAGTTCGAGATACAAGTTATGGTAGTCTAAGTGAACATGATAAAGCCGGTGGATAGGATTTTTAACTGTTATTTGTTTGTGTTGCATCTCTTAGACCATTTTTTGTGTAGAAAAACTGTTATTTGTTAAAGCCTCGTAAATTCGTTCCCTTTTCCCCCCTTAGTTCAAGCAGGCAGGGTTGTGTTATAATTATGGACTGCAGTCTGTAATTCTTATGACTGACATTGTAACTTTGGACTGAAACTAGATAAATCTGATTTTTGTATATCTTATGACTGACTTTTACCTTTAAAATGAAACTAGATAGCTCTGATATTTGTTAAATTTATCAAAGTTGAAGGCTTGAATGTTATGATTATTAGAGCATCTTGAGAGTCTTTAAGATCCTGTATTGTTGCTTTCGCTGTCTTACAAAATAAGTAAGTTTTCATAGGCATGATAAAGTTATTTATGAGTATTTTCTTAACAATTTAAGCTTTTAATAGAGTTGATGTATGACATAAGTTATGTTTTTGAAGTTTATTACTTTTTAACCTTACTTTTACTGTTTGGATTTTATAAAATTCCTTTCAGTGCCGACCACAAATTTTAATTTCTGCACATCCCATCTTGATTTTTCATTTAGCCACTAGATTTGTCCTAACTTCCTACAAGAATATGATACACTTGATTTTTTGGACCAAGGTGTTTGATGTACTATCATTTTCATCCGGCAAGGCATATGCCCATGTTTGATATACAGGTATATAACTATTGTACCAGCATCTAAGATGCCCATAGGCATATGATTTCCGTAAAATAACAACCGAATCAGGCTTTGTGAGCTTAAATACACTTTTAAAATAAAATCAAAATACCATACTTACGAGGATCTTTGATGCCAGATTATTTTGTATCTTACATTTATACCCGGGATGCATATGCATCATGAGATAAATCCAAGTTCTATTGATGACTCAAATATTGGAAATATAATGTGCCTCGTATGGTAGTCACTCCTTGTGATATATATGGTTTTTCAATCTTAAGATTTGTAGACCAGAAGTACAATTATCTTTCGAGTTTTGGCAGGATTGAGGTTTTATGTAATGTTACATTGATTTTATGGTGACAATAATTTGATTGTGATCGGCCACATGACATACATTTAGCCAGTCCACCGGCAAACTTTCTCACAGCTCGTTTATGCTTTTTTGCAGAGGAAGCTAATATTGAAACATGCACACAAGTACAGGCTGGGATTATGGAGGCCACGTGCTGAACAGGTCAAAGCGTGATTAGTTTCTATGTAGTAAGTAGCCTTTCGTTGTGAAATCATATAAAAAATGTTTAGCCAATGTGGAGTGACAGTGCTTGACTTTGCATGAAAAGATGAAGTTAATTGCTCAGGATACCTCACACCCTCATTTGTCACATTGAAGTTTGTCATTTGCACCAGTCAAGTACAATGAACTAATCTGATTTGACTGTTTGTGATTGTTATGTCCAATAATTTCGCTGCATTTTTTGTGTTGTATCGGTTGTTTTTAGCAAAAGAGAATTAACTTTGGGCTTAGGAGTTTCCTATGGTTCATTTTTTTTAGGTCCAGTTAAATCTAATGATGCTCTTCCCGCGTTTCACGCCCCTTGCTAATTATCCCGTGATCGATTTGTTACTTTTTGTTGTTGTGTATGAATCATGCTAGGTTGTCGATAGCGAGCTATAGTGGTGCTATAGTGGTATAGCGTAGCAGTTCAGGACCTTGACGTTACGCTTTTGGCCTGCTAACCGCTATCTGTGATAGCGGAAATAGTGGTTGCTATTTGGGAAGTCGTGGCGGCGCAATATTGTGGTGTTGTTGGAATTCATGTATTTTGTTGCAACTTCTATTTCTAAAGTATTATGTACGTAGTTGAAATTTATTTTAAGTATTTATGTATTCATGTTAAATATTTACCTTGGTTTTTAAAGATCGCAATTGCGGTCATCCTGCTATCCGCTATGCCGCCATAGCATTGAGGGTCCGGCGCTAAGCACCGCTATCTGAGATTAACAACCTAGGAATCATGATTTAACTGGATGTCTACTCTGAAGTAGATTGGTGATGATCCGTTTGTCTGATGAGTTGCTCTTGTTTGTGTAAAAGTGAGGCAATTGGCAATGTCTTCATCACTTTTCAGCATTTATGTATAAAATTTTGGTATTATGGTTTCTATTTTGTTAGTTTTTCAGTCTATCTCTTTTGGTGCGCAAATTTGTTAAAATGCATTATCAAAAGCACACATCATGTAAATCAGAAATTTTTCGGGCATTATTTCTCTTGTCATTAGTGGTGTTCACGCATTTGATGAAAAGTCAATAATATCTCTAAAATTAAAAAAAAAAACACTTTCGAAGACATCCTATCTACCCCACATTCCCGAAAGTGAGTCACATTTTATTTTAAAAAAGTAGTTTGAAAATATATTTTCAGAATAAAAATTTGTAGAGACTGAAAATTTAGGAAAAATCTAGGAAATTACGTATGAAAATTAGGAGGAAAGAAAAAACCAGACTGGATGTCAACATGTCAATATGTTCAATATCTGGAACTATAATTGCATTGCATCCTCCAGAATCAATCACAACATGTCAATCTTGTTTGCTTTCCCGTCTTTTCACATCATAGAATATCCTGAACCATGACATTCAGAGCAATGTTACAATGGTTAACACTAATTTCAGAAGAGGGAAAATCATTAAGAGGTGGAAAAAATGGAGACTAGATAAGTATTATGTACATTAAGAGAAACAAACCTCCACCAACTAGATAGGTGCCACTATGGGTCTCCTATTTATGTATCCTTTTAAATTTTTTTGAAGGTATATTTTTTGAATTTTTGATTTTTTTAAAAATGGAAGTGTGACTTACAAAGGAATGTGTTTGTAATGTTATGTGGATGAAATGCGTTTGAAAATATATTTTTGAATTTTAAAGATATTATTGATTTTTAACAATGATGTGTGAGCACCACTAAAAATAGGTGAAGGAATACCTCATTTTTTGAGAATGAATTGAAAAATCTCTTGCATTTAAGTAAAAAAAGAAAAAAGAAAAACTCCAGATGAAATTATCATAATAAAAAACTTTAATAAAAGTAATTGACCATGAAACACACATCTCGGGTTTGAGCAAACACAAACTCGAAACACCACAAGAATAATTCATAACACTACCAATATTTGGTAAAAGAAAAGATGATTGTTTATTGCACCTTCACCGGTGCTTTCACATCTTGGATGAACAAAAAATGTACACACCTCAGTCATCTTTTAGAAATAAACCAAAAGAAAGCTGAACAAATTCAAAATTTTGGAAGCATATTTCCAAAATCTTCTATGTTTTTTCAAACTAAAAGTAAATGTAGAAATGAGAAGAACAACATAAACTAACATAAGTCATTGTTATGACATATGACATGCATAACATACTTAACATTACATAAATAATTATGGATGCTTAACATTACATAAATAATTGTTAATGTAAATCTAACGCTGCATTTCATTATTAAGTGATGGTTGAAGCGTTTCAACATCTTTAGAATATCTTCGGTCGATCTTGCAACCTGCGCATCCACTTCGATCAAACCTTTTGTTTCGTAATAGTGAAATGTACTCACATAACAGTTAAATCTTCACACGTCCTCAACTCAAACTTGTTGAATTGTATATCTCATTCGTTGTCAATCGTGGGTGAACGATAATAGAGCTTTACAACCATTCGATTGTCTGGGCATCACAACAGATTCTCTAGTGTGGATTTCAGATTGACAAGACGAGTGATCTTTGTGAACCTAAATTCAAGAGCCCCCCCTCGCCGTCGCCCTTGCAGTAAACAAAAGCGAGATATGAATATTGAAATATTCTATGGGTGATTTTGCTAACAATATGAGGGACATCCATATTTATACAAGTTTAAGATTAATATGGACCTTAAAAATATAATCATGTCTTAGAGGATATTTCAGAGATATACTTATGAATTAACCCTGTTTAGTTTAGTAAATCAAGTAAAAAATGGTTTCTACGAAAATAAAGTTCCAAATTATCCCATGTTAGTATTTTTTTTCAATAAAATAGGGTGGATCCGATAGTACAGTTTCGAATTATCCCCTGTTGTAACATAACTTGTGTAACAAAACCTAATTATCCGCTATGACTTTTACTTATTTGATTCTCTTTCGATCTTGCTCAACTTGGTGAATTCTTCCATCCTGTACAAAAAATTATCCGACCAAATTTCAACTTCTTTTATGGAATAAATCGTTCACTCCAATGATGTTCTGGTATATGACATCTTGATTTCAAATAAACTTGAACAAATGTAGTGATTTTAAAAGGCACCCAATGCACATAATGTATCAGGTTGTATTTTGAGATGGGCTACTTTGAAGTGGAAAAATATTTTCGAGAAACCATATCTTGTCAGATCAATACACACCATATTATATACACTTGCTATAAGATGACCCATTTCAGGGAAGCATATTTTGAGATGGGCTACTTCAAAGTGAAAAATATATCGAATGTGAAAAGTTGACGATTTTCGATTGAATGGAGTGGCGTAAAGGCTAATTGATGTCCTAGGCTTCAATGCAATGCAATAGAAGTAGCGAGAAAACTTGAAAAATAATGGAAGACAAGTTTGCTTGCGAGCTCAATTTTGGGTTCTTAGTAAATCCTGAAATGAAATGACGAAGGATGAAGAAGGAAGGTCTGATCCATTATATGAATCAAACTCATACAAAATTTAACCTCTATAAAAACTACAAAATTTAACCTCTTATATATATTCTTCAATACACTGACCTGCGCCTAAGACTTGCCTTTGGTTGCATTTTTGGTGCGTTCGAAGGTTAAATTCTAAATTTTAAATGCATTATTTGTTTTTCACTAGTAGGAGTGTTCGCATGCCCGTTTGGTTTGGTTTCAAGAGAATTTGATGTCTAAATCGATCATAAATATATGAATTGGTTTGGATTGAATTAACATTTTTGCGATAAAGCGCAAATCAAACCAAACTGAAAAACAACGGGTTGACTTGGGTTGGATTGATAGGATATAATAAAAATAAATGTTCAAAAATATTTTAAAATACATCTAGTTTTCATAAACTAATTTTCCATAATAATATAAAATCCATAACTTGTTTTCGTTTTTCCATATAGATTATGAATGTCACAAATGATGTTTATTTTTTTCTTCTTGAATTTAAATATTTTATATTAATTTTGATGATAATAATGACATAAATTATACAAATTAATTATGGATGATTTAAATAAATCGACTCGCAAATAGAATTTTTGAAATCCAACCAATTAACACTGAATGTCTTTAGTTTGATTTGATTTTTTGCCTAAATTAAAAAATACCGAAACATCATAGTTTAATTTAAATTTCAATTTAATTCAAATTTACTTGAATTAACGAACATCCCTATTAACTGAGGAGCAATAAAGATAACAAAAGTAAACTTTTTTTTTTTTTATTAAAATTGATCTAAAGATAAAGTCACAAAGAAATTCGTACTCTTAAGCCTCCTAAAATACCAAAAACAAACTTAACAAAAAAGTATATTTTTATTATTTTAAAAATTAAAATAAATAAAATACTATTTTAATAACAATTAATCATGGTAAAAAAAATTATAATTAAACCGTTTAAATTAATTTTGAAAATGATTTTTTTTTAAATTTTAAAATATTAAATATAAATTTTAATTAAAAAATTGAAAATTTTATTAAAATTTATAAAAATGTCTCATAATTAAACATATCTCAGATGGGCCGACCCATTTTTTCTCTTTTATAATTTGTGAGTATTTATAAAATAAACCATACAAATTTTACATATGTGGCTGACTTGGATAATTTATGTTTTTTATTACTATTTTTAATTTTTTTTACTAAATAAATTAATACTTTCAATTAAGATTCTTTTATAAATTAAAATAAAACTATTTGGACCCAAAACCCATTAAGATTCAGCCAAAGTCTAGTATCCAACATTGAAAGAATAGCGCATGAAAAAGCTATATATAAACACTAGCAATGTTATATTCAAGTTTAACAAAGAAGAGATTTAGAATCACAGCAAGCAAATGATGGAGAAGCCATAAGGTGTAACAACCATGTAGTTCTCAATCTCAGAAGAACAAAGAGGCAAATTAGAAATGAGAAACAGAAAAATCAAACAAGTATGGCCAGTGAAAATAAGGATAAGAACAAGAACAACAACATCAACTCAAATAAC